TTTTTGTGTTTTTTCGCATGTACTGATGTTGTTCCATGGATCGATATCCCGTATCCTTTCTTTTCTATCATGCAATATGAATTGTATATTTAGAAACTGTTTACTTTAAAAAAACTACTTCAAGTATTTAACAGGGTTTTTATGATTAGGCTGCTGTCTTAATGAAGTTTACACATATCTATCAATGTATAGAATATCGGAGTTTTTAGATGGAGGTTAAAGAAAAGAGAATGATGGGTACACGAAATAAAAAAAATAAGAATTTACCTTAAAGTTAAACTTAAGCCGAACTTAGTACATAAGGGCAAACTTCTGAAAGTGACAAGAAAAAAAAGGACACAAAAAGCTTTTCTATAGTCTAATCAGAGACATGAAATACATATATATGTCTCTGGTCTAATAGTTTATTTATAGCCTACTGTAGTCAGTCTGCTTTTTCATTTCATTTTTTTACTTTTCAATAATTTTTTTCCTGAGGGGGAAAACTTGCACCTGGTCCCTATGCCAGTGGATGAATCTGGACTGATGAACATGGAATAATTTACCTCCATGGACTGCAGGGGCGGATCCAGCCATTTTAAAAGGGGGGTTCCAACCCCCGGACCCCCACCCCCGGATCCGCCACTGGACCGAAGAAGAAGAAAACGTAAAAGAGACTTTCCGGGTCATGGTGTAATTTGTTGGTTCTAAATATTAGTATTAGTATTTCCGGTCACTATTCAACCATTTCCCGCAACATTTTCTATATTGTCATCTGCTAAACACAGTAATTAACTGATTTTCACCCACAAAACAGCAGTATTCACACTCTTTAGAATGGAAAAGGATATTTATGAATTTTCCTTTGAAAGAACTTCTTTTTGATCACTTTTCCGTCACTTGAGTTTTCCATTTCACACGAAAAGTTGTCCAAACGCCGAAACGGTCTGCTGAGGATAATTCTCAAATTTGATTTTTAAACAATTAAGTAAAGGTCCCACGTTGAAGTGGTTAATGTAGACTCCAAATGCATTATAACTAATCTTTATGGAAAGATTTTTTTGTACAGCTATGTCTGTTTTATCTACAAAAGAAGAATCCAAAGGCAAAGAACCCCTTGGCCTCGTTAAATCAATAGATTTATCTGTTTGAAAGTAACTATTTCATGTATAGGTCAGAGTATCTTCTTCTGTATTGCTTTTTATATTTATAAAAAAAGGAAATGATCCTCAATGTTTACTTACGACACTAACTTTTGTTGGAGCAATGGAGGGGGAGGGGGGTCATGGGGATGGGGCATGTTTTTTTTTCTCAGGCAAACATTTTTTTAACTAGATAAAAAAGTTACTATTTTTCATTAAACATTCATGAACAAATTTTTTTTATTCAAATCAAACAATTTATTTGCATTGGTATCCCCCTAAAAAGTACAAAGGCCTAATAAAAATATATGTGTGGTTCCAGTTAGCTTAACCCCCACCCCCCTTGACCCTAGACCTTTTTTTTTCCATTTTATGAAAAATCCCATCTTGTGGAAAATCAGTGATTTTCCTACCTTTTTTCAAATGGGGCCTGGGCCCTAGGCAATCAGGGAAAAATGTGTTGTATAACGTGTGAATTGGGAAAAAATAAATCATTGTTTTCATCATAGTTTAATGAGGTTACAATGTATTTATTAGAATTCCAATTTTATATCATGTTCAAATTTTAACATATCATTTTTTCTTGATGCATGTTAATATATGTCATCAGGGTTTGACACTAACTAAGTTCTTTTACTAGCCCAGAGGGCTATTTAATTTTTTTTTTTTAAAGTCTTCCAACTCTGCTAGCTCGTCAAGTTGCAAAGGCACGACCAATGCTAAGGGTGTCTGATGGCATCCCCCCCCCCCCCAATTTTAAAATAAATGAAGCTAAATCATGTGATCTGGGGCATTTTCAGATGTTTTGTTTGCTAATAAATTGTAGAGACAAAACTATTTATTTTTATTTTTAATCATCTCCATTAAGAGTCATGAACAGGCCATGATACGCAGACTAGTACAACAATTCACATTCAAATTATTACAACTGATTTAACCACTTTTAATATAGAAGAAGATAATTTAAGATTCATTTCTATTCCCGTGAAATCCCTAGTGTAAGTGGACTGCCATACTTTCCATGGTATTTAATTAATGCTGTTTCATGCATTTCTCTGGCTTGATTGCCTGATTTATTGATATTATCATCACAGATATGATATTAACAGAAGAAAATAACTTATTGACCAGCGAAAAAAGCATTTCGCTGCACGCTTTGGCATGTTTAACAAATTTTTTTTAAATTAACCTAAGACCAAAAAATTAACAAAGACAGTTAAGCGCATTTATGGAGACAAAAATGAAATTTAGAGAAATGCTCTTATGTTTTTTTAATTAAAATTTATAGTAATCATACTTTCAATAATATTATCTAAAGAAAAACAATAGACTGTACTAGCAAACTTTCATAGAATTAAAGTTGGTTCCTTTGAAAATTTAGATCCTTGTTATTCACGTTTTTCAGGTTTTCAGATAAACCATGCAGAACTAAGTTAAACTGGTTCCCCAAATATTATCATCTGTCTATCGACTTGTTTTTCTTCAGGAACAGTACGACAACCTCTATTTTTGAACCAAATCATACGAACGATAAAGATTACATTCAATTACCTTTCCACTACAACTTGATTGAATAAGGAATTTTCCATGTCCATTTGGGAAAAAATTAGGGTTTTTCTAATTGGGAACAGGGCCGATATTCGGACCCAAAATAAAGGCAGGAAAATCACTGAATATGAATTTCAAAAATTAAAATCACAGACTTCTGTCATCTGAATTTCCATTAAAGTATCCACTAGGGCTAAAAATTTGTAAGGGGTTCCGTGGAACCCAGTGTCTCGCCTGCTATTGCTGCTGTCAGTGTAAAAGTGTTATATTGACTTTAAAAAGAGAGTCCATTTATTAGTAAAATAGAGAAATTAAAAAAAAAATTAAAAAATTTTCTTTAAATGCTATTTAAGGTATTGAAGATAAGCTTCTTTCCAAGTTTCATAACAATCGATGAAGGTTTACAAATTTATCACTTCAAAAAAATTTAATCCCAGACTGTCTGTAAATGTGAACTGTAAAAAACTAAGTCTATCTATCAGAAAAAAACTGAAAATGAAAAAAATATATTTTCAAAAGTTTGCTTCAGATGTTATCTCTTAATCATAAAAAAGCTTCTGCCAAAGTTTCATAAAATTCTATGAAGCTTTGACAAAGTAATCTTGAAGGTTTAACAAAGTTATTGATGACTGATAAACTTTAACCTCAGACTGAATCTGAATGTTTATTAGTGAAAAAAACTAAGTCCATTTATCAGTAAAATACGGAAAAATGAAAATTAATATTTTCAAAATTTCACTCTTAATATTGAGTGGTATAAGTCTTAATACTTGGTCATAAACAATCTTCCGTCCAAATTTCTTGGAGGTTTGACAAAGTTATTGATGATTTAAAAACTTTAACCTCAGACTGAATCTGAATGTTTATTTGTAAAAAAAAACTAAGTCCATTTATCAGTAATATACGGAAAAATAAAAATAGATATTTTCAAAATTTTGCTATGGATATTGTATTTTGGTCATAAACAAGCTTCTGTCCAAATTTCCTAAAATTCCATGAAGGTTTGACAAAGTTAATAATGTCTAAAAAAACTTGAACCACAGACTGAACCTAAATGTTGACGCTGCCGCCGCCAGCGCTGATGGAATCTGGGATCGCTATGTCTCGCTTTCATGTCATAAACAAGCTTCTGTCCAAATTTCCTAAAATTCCATGAAGGTTTGACAAAGTTATTAATATCTAAAAAAAACTTGAACCACAGACTGAACCTAAATGTTGACGCCGCCGCCAGCGCTGATGGAATCTGGGATCTCTATGTCTCGCTTTCGTGACATAAATGTCGCAGGCTCAACAAAAATGCAACAAATTCTTTACAGAATTTAACAAACTTAACCTAAAATGTAACATGTCTGTTTATTTTACAACCAAACATGGAAATGGCAAACTTCCAGTAGGGTAGTGTATAACCTACCAACCCTATTTTATTTCAGGATGTAACTGGCCAAACAAAAAACATAACCTTTGTAAAGTTATATTATTGAAAGGTTTTGGGAAGACTTCTAAATAGTAAAAAAAGAATACCTGAGTTATCACGTCAAATGTCACTATTAAAGTTGAATATATCATTTTAGTTAAAAGGTTTATTTATGTTTGCCATATTAATGGCCCTTAACAGTATGAAGACAACATAGTTGAACAAAAACTCAAATGTTATGAAATAATGGGGAACATAAATAAATACAAAAATAAATGATACAATGGAAGCCCAATTCCAATTAAACCACTGAACTTGGTTGAATGGAAATGCTCATATTTTAAGTGTCCTGTTTCCTGACTAAGCCATATTGTATGCCCCCGTGTCGCAGGGGGCATTAAGTGTTACCCTTCTCTGCCTATATGTCCAAAAATTAGTTTCGGTTCTCTTAATTTAGTTCGCCCTAACCAAATGTTATGAAAGTTATTTACAATGCTTATTACCATAAAACACAGATCAAGTTCGAATTTGATCGGGGTCACTTTTACAGTTCTCTAGTTATGTCCCTTTATAATATTTTATGCAAGCGGGGGATCATCTTTGTCCCATGGACATTTACATCTTGTGTATTAGTCTTGTTTATATGTATATACATATATTTATTTGTACCATTACTGTCAAATACTTGCATTTTGGAGGATATTTGAATTTTTATAATTATGACAAAGTCTGCATATATATATATTCCTACAGCCATGAAGACGAGGAAAAGTGGTATCCTATGAAAAATAATGAATCCAAAGTAAAAGCTGATCATATACAGGAATGTAACATAGCAACATATTTTCATTATTTCTTAGATTGCCCAAGCTTTTTTTATGCAGAATTATTCTTAAACTTATCTCTTGCAGGAATGTAAGCTTAAGAAGAGAAAAAAGACAAAGAAAAACATGAAAATAGAATATGTCACAGACGGAAAGAGGTGTGCAACTTCGCCAATGGAATAAAACTTTTCACAGACAATTGTTGGTTTGATGGGTAGTTAGAAGAGTATGGCATCTTCACAGTCAGTGGAACATGAGTTACTTAGCCAGAGGCTGCAGGAGAAGGATGGTACAGCACTAAGTCAGAGGCTGCAGGAGGAGGATGGTACAGCACTAAGTCAGAGAGATATAGATTTGTCCCAGAGATCTGATAGTGTTATATTGTTTGAGGAGGGGATAATTAAAAAGGAACTTGGTAAGGGCTGGAATAAAACTTGACAAGATCTTATACATATCAGTCTACTAATTACCTACAACTTAATGGACAAGGGGAAAAAAACTAAATTCACATTATTGCCAAAATATGAAAAAAATATTCCGTCTGTCTGTCCTGTATTTGGTTATAGTTTTGGTTTGTGGTAGTTTGAGGTTACACCAACTTGATATTTAATTAGTACACATGTTCATTATGAAGTGAAAAGACCAATGTTTAATAAATATGCCAAGCTAGGGTTTTGACTCCGATGTCAGTTCACTGGATATAGTAATGTGATTGTGAGAGTGTGGGCATGGTGGACACATATTCTTGTTTTTAAATATTTAAAATAAACTATAAACTTGAAAAAGGGAAATGTTCTGGACATTAACAGTGCTTATTAAACATGTTAAAAAAATGTCTTTAAAAATGTGTTTGGTAGGTATGAACAGTTAGGGTAGGTAGGGAGGCTGTTGGAAACACAACTATAATTTGTTTGGCCTAAGCACCTGCTATTATGTAACATATTAATGATTAAGTATTTTATCACAGTTGAGGCCCCTCATGGGGGTGTCCAAGTAATCACATAATCACAAATTGTTTGCCAATGTAATCACATAATCATTAATAATTTTTTTAAACAATAAAATCAAATAATCAAAAATACAGTCCTAGATTTTCAAATAATCAAATAATCATAAATATTTGGTCTGGTAATCAACTAATCACTAGAAAAATGGCCAAGTAATCACATAATCATAAACCCCATGTGGAGGCTCACAGTTCAATTCATACACTGGTACTCAGTTACAGGCTTATTAAACATGCTTTTTTATTCACTGTTTTACAAACTGATGCATTCTGTGTAATATATTTAAAAGTGTAATCCAAAATATTATGATTGGTTAACAAATTAAAGTCTTAAAAAATAGATATATATTGACCATTGACATACAATTATTTTCATATGGTGTACATATAATTAAACATTAAGAGCCTAAAACAATGAATAAAGCAATTCGTTGTCCATCATTCTAGTAAGGCCTGAAAAGGTATGTGTTTCAACTAACCAGACAGACCATATTTTTTTCAGTACCTATGTTTTAAAGATTCTTTTTGGTCATTTTTGAACTTTCACTATTAAAGTCTGACGGTTTCCCCTGTTGTTACCAGTTACAACTTTTTGAAGAAAACATTTTTTACCCTTTTTTTTCCAGCATGTAAGTGAAAACACAGGTATAACTTTTTTGTCCTTATAACAAGTTTGGCAGTAGTACCTATTGTTGGTAAATGATTCTACAGAGGACATATATCTCGTTTGAATTGATTGACATTTGTCATGTAAGAACCTTTTATAGCTTACTTTGCAGTATTCAGGTTTTGCTCATTGTTGAAGGCTTATTATAGGTATTAGGGGAGGGTTAATATCTCACAAAACATGTTTAGCCCCGCCACATTTTTGCACCTGTCCCAAGTCAGAAACCTCTGGCCTTTGTTAGTCTTGTATGTTTTTTTAAAAATTTTGGTTCATTTATATGTTTCGTAGTCTAGTGTGACTTTCATTTTCGCTGAACTAGTATACATTATTGGTTAAGGGCCACCTGAAGCCCGCCTTTTGGTGCATTATTGTCTTGCTGTGTTGGAAGACCCATTGGTGGCCTTGGGCTGTTTTCTGCTCTTTGGTCGGGTTGTTGTCTCTGACGCATTTCCCATTTTCATTCTCAATTTTATTATGGTGACCTATAGCTGCTAACTTCTATGCACTTGGTCTCTGAGGTCAATTGTCTAATTGGCAATCATAACACATCTTCTTATTTTTATATATACATTTTATAGTGGATTTTTTGGCTGTTAACCCTCAGAGTCACATTGTGTGAAAATAGAAAGACAACAAATGCAGTAAACTGCAAGGAAAAATTAAAAGTCAAAAGTTCAAAGAATTTGTAAAAAAGGACCCGCACAAAAAAAAAAAAAAAAAACACAAAAAAAAATTAAAAAAAACACCCCAAAACTGAGAAACTTGATATAAGGAAGAGGATACTTTTCTCTGAATTCAAACATTGCTTTAAGAATCTTCAGAATTGGAATTACATTTGTATCAAACCTTTAGTGTCTAATTTTAAAATTTTTTGTATATTGTAAGACACTGAAGATTTGACTACAGATTGTACTTTGTTAACTGAGAGATTACCAGATGTTATAAGCCAACAACAGATGAATCATGTTGATTGTTTAAGGATGAGAAATAGCTTAACAGAAATTCTTGAAGAAGTCAAACTCAGAAGGGTTGGTATTTCATTTATTGCAGAGAAACTTCATGGTTTGGTATCGGAAGAGACTATATTAGTGTCAAAACTGTATTAACTGCATTAAAGTAATAATAAAAAAAAAGCCAGACTATACAAAAGGGACAATCAAAATGAGTGGGTCAAAGAAAAACTGACAACACCATGGCAAAAAACAAAAAAGGACGAAAAGATAAACAGTCTAAGAAAACACTACATAAAAAAAGTATTAGCATCAGGAACACCCCAAAGAAAAAAGGAAAATTTAAGGTGCTCTAAAAGGGTAAGCAGATCCTACTCCACACGTTGCACCAGTTGTGTTGCTCAGATTTATAAAGGTTTGTTACTTATATGTTCTTTATCAGAGATGACATTTATACCTTTATTAAAGTTTTCAGGTCAAAGCTCTATTGTCAGGTTTGTTAACTTGTTGAAAACAAAATTACTCATTCATGCTTCACCAGACTTTTCCAGTAGCAGAGAATGACCTCTATTGATTTTCAAAGCTAGAAGTAAAGATTGAGGTTGGACTGGGAAGTCTTATGCAGAGCAAACGAATGGCTGAATCATAAAAGTGTAAAATCCATAGAGGAAGAAAACTGGCCAATTATTGTGAAAGAAATAATTCTTTCATGTCATATTCTATGCTCATTTTATTATAGCTAGGCATTATATTTGTTAATTTTTTTACACTAAGCTACTCACATTTGAAAATGAGTATAGACCATGATATGAAAGTATTTCTATTCTATTTACTTCGGTAGGAAAGTTCAGAACATTTTTGGTTGGAAGCTGACCTATAAAAAGTGTTAAGAAAAAGCCATTTCAATTTGATCAATCAGAACATTCTGTAAAATCAATCATTGACAATCAAAAATCTTACAAATACATATAGACTACTTTTTTAAGATTTAAAGAAGTCCTAATGAGCAACATTCTAAAAAAAAATATTTCCAATGTCTTTCAAGCTCAGATAGATGTTGAAAGTTTAATTGTTACGTCACAGACATGAACTCCAGGTTTTGTTGGAATTAAAATAGACTGTTAACAAAGCAAAAGAAGAGTGTCATATTAGAATTGATAACAACCTATTGATCTATTTCTTTACATACTTATTCAGTAAGTAATTGAAAAGACTCTTTTTGTGTCTAGCTGTGGTATCTCTAATCAGAGATTTCTGATTTGTCAGGGAATCATTGTTGAGTCACATATGTTGGTATTATACAGGAGAAAATAGCAAACCATTGAGGTCAAGGCAAATTTCATAATTTTTAAAGATAATCAATGTTAAAAAATCTTTAAAAATAAGTCTTGTCTTCAACATTATTTATCACTAATAGATCACACTTGAAGTTTAGTAAAACTTGTGTAACTTGTGTACACTTTTCCTCTTCTCATATATTCTTAATGTCACAATTATTACAGAGATATATATGTTTTGAAAATAAGCCAATATATACTGTTGCGATACAAAATAAAAATCAAATAAGCAAATTGATATATGGCATCTGTCAGGTTACAACAGTGTCTTTCTTGACATTTATACCCAACATGTCTAATGCAATGAAGTTTAATGAATAATGTTTTTGTTCCATCTGTCAGTTCTTTATCACATGTTGCTGCTAAACATCTATGCCAGCCGCTTCATCTTTTGTTTGATCTTCAAATTTGATCAGACAATACACTTGGAGTTCTATAATTATAAAAAATCATGAAAGGGACTTGTAAAAATATCCTGTATTAATTCTTTTCTCTATGATAATGCCTTAATTTCTTATGAGATCTTCTTCAAGTTTGTATGTTGGTTTCCATTTATTAAGTTTTGGAGTTTAGTGTGTCGTCCATTTTCATTGAACTAGTACACATTTTTGTTTAGGGGCCAACTGAAGCCCGCCTCTGGGTGCGGGATTTTCTCGCTGTATTGAAGACCCATTGGTGGCCTTCGGCTGTTTTCTGCACTTTGGTCAGGTTGTTGTCTCTCTGACACATTCCCCATTTCCATTCTCAATTTTATTAAAACTTCAGATGACTTACATAATCAGAAAACTCCGAAATGATGGTCCATTTTTCAGAGGGACTTATTGAAATAACCAATGTAAACTCTTGTCAATGGAATAGTGCCTTCATATTTTATTAGACCCTCTTCAAATTTGTAATAAGGTTTCCATTCATCAAAACCTTGAATGATTTCGTTAATCTGAAAAAATTGAAATGGGGGACTTTTTTGGAGGGAGGGGAAGTATAAAAATATCCCATATTAATTATGTAGTTGCAGGGTATATGAAGATGAAGAACAGCAATAAAAGCGCTGTTCCTTTGCTTTTTATACGACCACAAAAAATTTTTGTGGTCGTATATTGGTATCACGTTGTCGTCGTCGTCCGAAGACAGTTGGTTTCCGGACAATAACTTTAGTATAAGTAAATAGATATCTATGAAATTTAAACACAAGGTTTATAACCATAAAAGAAAGATTGGGATTGATTTTGTGGATTATGGTCCGAATATTTTAGGAATTAGGGGCAAAAAAGGGGCCGAAATAAGCATTTTTAGCTCACCTGACCTGAAAGGTCAAGTGAGCTTTTCTCATCACTTTGCGTCCGTCGTCCGTCGTCCTGCGTCCGTCGTCCGTCGTCCGTCGTCCGTAAACTTTTACAAAAATCTTCTCCTCTGAAACTACTGGGCCAAATTTAACCAAACTTGGCCACAATCATCATTGGGGTATCTAGTTTTAAAAATGTGTGGCGTGACCCTGTCAACCAACCAAGATGGCCGCCACGGCTAAAAATAGAACATAGGGGTAAAATGCAGTTTTTAGCTTATAACTCAAAAACCAAAGCATTTAAAGCAAATCTGACATGGGGTAAAATTGTTCATCAGGTCAAGATCTATCTGCCCTGAAATTTTCAGATGAATCGGACAACCCGTTATTGGGTTGCTGCCCCTGAATTGGTAATTTTAAGGAAATTTTGCTGTTTTTGGTTATTATCTTGAATATTATTATAGATAGAGATAAACTGTAAACAGCAATAATGTTCAGCAAAGTAAGATTTACAAATAAGTCAATATAACCGAAATGGTCAGTTGACCCCTTTAGGAGAAATTGCCCTTTATAGTCAATTTTTAACCATTTTTCGTAAATCTTAGTTATCTTTTACAAAAATCTTCTCCTCTGAAACAACTGGGCCAAATTAAACCAAACTTGGCCACAATCATCATTGGGGTATTTAGTTTAAAAAATGTGTGGCGTGACCCGGCCAACCAACCAAGATGGCCGCCACAGCTAAAAATAAAACATAGGGGTAAAATGCAGTTTTTGGCTTATAACTCAAAAACCAAAGCATTTAGAGCAAATCTGACATGAAGTAAAATTGTTTATCAGGTCAAGATCTATCTGCCCTGAAATTTTCAGATGAATCGAACAACCTGTTGTTGGGTTGCTGCCCCTGAATTGGTAATTTTAAGGAAATTTTGCTGTTTTTGGTTATTATCTTGAATATTATTATAGATAGAGATAAACTGTAAACAGCAATAATGTTCAGCAAAGTAAGATTAACAAATAAGTCAACATGACTGAAATGGTCAGTTGACCCCTTTAGGAGTTATTGCCCTTTATAGTCAATTTTTAACAATTTTTCGTAAATCTTAGTAATCTTTTACAAAAATCTTCTCCTCTGAAACTACGTGGCCAAATTAAACCAAACTTGGCAACAATCATCATTTGGTTATCTAGTTTTAAAAATGTGTGGCGTGACCTGGTCAACCAACCAAGATGGCCGCCACGGCTAAAAATAGAACATAGGGGTAAAATTCAGTTTTTGGCTTTTAACTCAAAAACCAAAGCATTTAAAGCAAATCTGACATGGGATAAAATTGTTCATCAGGTCAAGATCTATCTGCCCTGAAATTTTCAGATGAATCGGACAACCCGTTATTGGGTTGCTGCCCCTGAATTGGTAATTTTAAGGAAATTTTGCTGTTTTTGGTTATTATCTTGAATATTATTATAGATAGATTTAAACTGTAAACAGCAATAATGTTCAGCAAAGTAAGATTTACAAATAAGTCAATATAACCGAAATGGTCAGTTGACCCCTTTAGGAGTAATTGCCCTTTATAGTCAATTTTTAACCATTTTTCGTAAATCTTAGTAATCTTTTACAAAAATCTTCTCCTCTGAAACAACTGGGCCAAATTAAACCAAACTTGGCCACAATCATCATTTGGTTATTTAGTTTTAAAAATGTGTGGCGTGACCTGGTCAACCAACCAAGATGGCCGCCACGGCTAAAAATAGAACATAGGGGTAAAATTCAGTTTTTGGCTTTTAACTCAAAAACCAAAGCATTTAAAGCAAATCTGACATGAAGTAAAATTGTTCATCAGGTCAAGATCTATCTGCCCTGAAATTTTCAGATGAATCGGACAACCCGTTGTTGGGTTGCTGCCCCTGAATTGGTAATTTTAAGGTAATTTTGCTGTTTTTGGTTATTATCTTGAATATTATTATAGATAGAGATAAACTGTAAAAAACGATAAATGTCGGCAAAGTAAGATCTACAAATAAGTCAACATGACCGAAATTGTCAGTTGACCCCTTTAGGAGTTATTGCCCTTTATAGTCAATTTTAACCATTTTTTCGTAAATCTTAGTAATCTTTTACAAAAATCTTCTCCTCTGAAACTACTGGGCCAAGTTAATTATAGATAGAGATAATTGTAAGCTGGAAAAATGTTCAGTAAATTAAGATGTACAAACACATCACCATCACCAAAACACAATTTTGTCATGAATCCATCTGCGTCCTTTGTTTAATATTCACATAGACCAAGGTGAGCGACACAGGCTCTTTAGAGCCTCTAGTTGTAGTTTCCAGACAATAACTTGTGTTTAAGTGTACGAATCTCTCTGAAATTATACCACAAGTTTCCATACCACAAAGGGATGGTTAGGATTGACTTTGGGGGGTTATGGCTCAAACAATTTAGGAATTTAGGAATTAGGGGCAAAAAAGGGGAAAAACAAGGGTTTCCTGGTTAATGGACAATTTTAAAGCAGTGTAAGGGAGGTAAACCAAT